GCAAGTTATTAGTGTTCTTGTTTTATATATTTTTTTGTTTTATATATTTTCGTTTTGTAAATTATGACAAGAGAGAGAGAGAGAGAGAGAGAGAGAGAGAGAATCTACATTTTTCAGATATATAATCTCAAATTATTTAATTTATATTATACAAAATTCAATTAATAAATAAATTATATGCATATGATATGTTACATAAATTAAATATTTTAGAAGTTTACCTTTGTAAAATGTAAGATTCTTTTCGTGACTTACAAATTAAAAATATAAAACAATTATTTATACTAATAATATAGTTTATATATATATATATAGTAAATGGTTTTTAATATTCTAAAAACTTTTAAATATTAGCACAGATAACTTATATTAAGAATTAATAAAAATATTATAATAAATCATTGTGAGGTGTTTAACTCATTCTTATCAATAATATCATGTACTTTTTCCAAGACTGTAAGTCTTGGAAAAGCATTTTGCGTTGTCATACGCTATAAGCGCGCAACGTGAAACGTGTCTTCCTAGCCTCAATGTTTTTCTCGCACATCGGGCTTGATGGAAACGAGGAAGAACATAGTATGTCTGCGCTCTTTCACGAGCCGAACAGCCGAGCGTGACGTCACGCACACGGACGGCGGTTCTCGCTGTATGCGTGCCCCCACCACCTTGGTGCTCTTGGTGCTGGCCGGCCCGATCTATCATCACTGACTACCGTGCTTCTTGATTTGTCATCTAAAAATTTAGAATACAGAATCCATTTAAAGTCATTTTAATGATAAGTAGTATGTGAGCCAGTACAGCGCGTCAAAACAAATTCCCTCCACTTGAACTCCCCCACCACTCTGGCGCCATTTGCCCCACCAGGGTGGTTTCTCCCTCCCTTTTAGTTGTTGGAGTGATTAACCACACCCACTGGAGGGAATGAAAATGTGACATAATTTATGACCCTATAAAATGTTTTATAAATTTTATAACATTTTTTAAAAATGTGTGATTGAAATTTTTTGTTGAGGAAGAGGGGGAGAAAAATTCAACAATGTTTGAGTGGAAGGATGTAATTGTTTATTAAAACAGCATATAATATATTATCGAAAAATCTGTTTTGAAGCGTGCTGTTGCTGCTCCGATGTTGTTGCCTTGTACGTTCAAACGTGTATGAGAGCATGTTGTCGTCGTTTGAGAAACGAAGTGTAAAGGCGGGAGTGGCGTCGGTTTTGAAAGAATCAATCAGCGACTGGACCATTATGACTCGCAATGAGCAAGGTTCGGGGGTAATTGATGAAGATGGTAAAGAAGAAGTTCCGCGAGGAAGGACCAATGACGTCTGGGCCAATATGGATCCCAATGAGCGTGGAGCAGAGTGGGAGGGCGTGTAGCCAAAATAGAAACCGAAATAGAAGTAGGCGTCGTACGTCTGTGACTAGAAACTTAGGGTTCTCTTGTAACATAAAAAATGAATTTATGTGTCCGTTGCGGATGTTTTCTGAACGATTTTCACGTGCGCGAACTTGTACGTGCGAGTGGACAAGTGCGTGCCGATGAGCAAAAGAGAACATAATGTTTTTTTAAAGAGAAAAACGGTTTATGACTTGCGACAAGCCGGCCGGTAACCTTGCGCTTACTTGTTCGTGAGCGGTAACAAGAGCGTGCCAATGTATAAAAAAGAATATAATTTTTTTTGAAGATGAAAACGGTTTATACACCTTGCGACCGTTAAACCTGCACGTACTTGTTTGTGCAAGAATTTTTGAGAAAATTCTACGTGAGTTTTCGATAAATGGATATTCAATGTATAATGTTTATAAAAATGTGTAAGGAGTTTAGAAATAGTTTTCTTGGGAAGAATAACAGAAAACAACATAGTACACTTACTCGATATAAAGTTAGATATATTGTGAAAAGAAAATACAAGATTGATTTTTTTGTTTTACAAGTACAGTAATGAATATAGTGTTCAGGAAAGCGGGTTTGTACATTGTTGGATTTTGTAGAGAATATTTTACGAAATAAACATACAATTGATTTGTCGTTGGCGTCGAAATTTCCGGAAAACAGTTGTAAAAATTGGGAAAGGCTATACCCGTGAGCCATAAAATAGAGAAACACACAGCAATAATGCCCGCACGTTTGCAAGAAATATCCTTGAAGTTGTGTCGTGTTCCATGTGTGCGTTGCGNAGTTTCTTCGAAGTCGCAGAAGGAAGCGGAAATCTGACGGCGGTATTCCATAGCTGTCGAAGTAAGAGGCGTGTCTGTTTCCATCGAGGAAAAAGGCAACCCAGTGGGTTCCTGGTTGATTGTGATTGTCTGTGTTAGCAACGATTGGTGTCCACTTCGTCCGGGCGTGTTCCGTTTGACCACAGTACGATTCGACACCG